AGTTTTTCTTTCTTCGATCATTCTCTAAGGGGTCTGAAACAGTTTAGATTACCCAAGCATTCAGGCCTTCTGTCTTGAACTCTATCATAATAGTTTTCTTTTCTTTATCTTCAAGAACTCTTTTTTCTATTGCTTGAAACCACTTTGCTTTTTTTTCTTTACTTGAGCTATTTCTAAGGATCTTTAGCTGCTACCAGGTTATTAACCGATCTTCTGTACTTGTAAGCAGTTGCTTGAGTAAAATCAGATTTAATTTTCTTAAAGTTTTAACTATTGGCACAGAAAAACTTTCTTTGAGTATCTTTGCTAATCTGTAATCTTTGCTTTCTGCTATCAAAATTGTGTTTTTAAATCTTAGTATAATTCCTAGTTCTTTAACATTTAGTATTGTTTAACATGCTAGATTGTTTCTTCAAATATGTGCGTATGCTACTGGAGGCTCTTCATGCTATGTGTTCTCTGTTGACTCTATCATTCTCATACCATTGATTATTCTTAACAAAGTAAAATTTCTTCTGGTCCAGAGGTGTTTAATCGAAGATACAGACTATAGATCTGTTTTGTTAAAAGTTTGTCCCATAAAGCATTACAATTGCTAATACTTCTGTGTAAAATCGTACTATTGTTTATAGTTCTTGCTAGTCCCATCTTATTTTTAGTCAATATGAGTAAAAGAGCTGGGAGACTATTAATTATTTTTTGCTTAAATCTAGAAATCTATAATATATAGCACAACTTTAGAACTATACACATATTGTTAATATATGCTGTCTGTGCAATAGTTATTTTTTGGAGTTAAGGATCCTTGCTGCTAAATGAACAATCTTCTTTGCTTTTGCTTTAACTAGGAATTCATTTAACTTGTTATTCAACCATATTCCAAGGAATCTTGTGATCTTATTCTTTTTCTCTTCTGTTAGCCACTCATTACCAAAAAGGAGCTTTTAGTCTTCTTTTCTTTTCAATGAGTTACAAACGATTAATTTGGATTTCTTTCTGTTGATTTGTATATTGTTAAATCTAAAGAACGTCTCTGCAATTTGTATAATTTTTTCTATTTTAGTTTTGCTTTCTGCGATCCATACCGTATCATCGGCATATGCTACTACTACTTGTCTCCACTTGATCTTTTTGTATTGATTTAGGTTATAATCATATATAACTTTTTGTCTAATGATATATTCTAGCTCTAAATCTTTCTGAATTTTTGACAATAATGGGTCATAAAAATTTTCTATATAAGTAAAGAAATTACTTCTTCTTGCTTAATACTGTTATTTGTTTCAAAGCATTCTGTTGTGCCTAGGTCTGTAATCACTTTGGATTGTTTATTCTCAAAGAGATTTAATATAAAGGTTACTATTATTTGTGGAATTTTAAGTCTTTTCAAAGCTAGCTCTAGAGATCTTAGTGATACTGAATCAAAAGCCTTTTTTATATCTTGTAGTACTAGCCAAAGTTCTCTGTTATTGTCTTTTACATCTTTCATTATTATATTTATTATTTGCACTAGTTCTTCTGTAGAGTTGCTAGACAAATCTGTAAAGTTTGGACCTTTTAGAATATTTTTTTCTGCAAGGACTTTTGCTAATTATTTGGTTACAATTTTAGTTACGCATTTTCTAAAAGTTTCTAAAAGTGCTATTGGTTTAATATTATTTAGATTATATCTCCAATCTGAGTTTTTTAGAATGAGGTAAATTTGGGAGATCTTCTATTTTATTGGCATCTTTTTAGAATATATGTAGCTTTCAGCAAAGAGACAAAATATTTTCTGTGCTTGCAAGTTTGCTGCTTTGATTAGTGCATATGTAATTTCAGATACTCCTAGAGCTGTATCTTTCTTAAGCTCTTTTAATATATTTGACTATTCTTCTTCTGAAATATCTTGCACAAGTTCGCTATATCAGTTTTCTTGTATTTTCTCTATTGGCCTATATATCTCTTTTCAATTACTCTTCTAGAGCTCTTGGTTGAAATTGTGAGGTTTGAATTGTTCTTGAAAATACTCGTTTATTCTTATAAAAACCTCTTCTAGGTCATTGATAAGTTCTTTTTATAGCTTTCGATCTGCTAAGAGTCTGTTAATTTGTATTTTTTTAAAGAGCTTTTCTAGAAGGCTTGCAATCATTTTGCCTTGCTTGCTATCTATTATCTGATTTCTTCTTTTGATATTTTCTTCTATTTCTATTCTTTTCTGGTACTCAATCTCATTTGCTCTTTTCACAAAAAAATCGTTCACCAGCCTTTAAGATCATCTAGCAGATCATGTGACCAAACGGTTATTTCCTTGTTAATGTTCGTTTTGTGTTGTTAATTTATAAACTCAATTTCTGTAATAAGATTTTTAAAAATGAGTTCTAATTTAATGTTTTTCTTTCCAATATTTATCTAGTGATCTAATTGCATCAAAGAGTAAGCTAATTTGGATTCTTTGACATTTTTTCTCTTGTTCTGTATTATATTGCAGATTTTCTTCTTTGGCAAGTTGCTTCTTGCTGATATGAGTATTGCCTTACTTATCATATCCCAAAGTTTATCTAACTTTAGAAATTCTTCTCTTTGTTGATGAGTTTTCTTTATAAGGCTTGTTATACTTGTACTCTGTTTGAGTAGACTATCTATCTGCCTTCTATAATTTTTTTAGTTCTCTTCTGATACCTTATTGTAAAAAAAAACTGTTCATGTTTGCTTACTCCTTTTGTATGCTGCAGCACTCTGAAATACACTAAGATACTTGAGGTCAATTTTAGCTATCATTGCTTCATGATTACTATTTGTATAAATATCCATTTCTTGTATTTCTGCATCAAATAAACTATGTGCAAGTTTCTCAAATAGCCATATCTGATCTATTCTTGTACTTGTATTTCTATTTGTCTATGTGAATCTTTTGGTTTTTGGATAAAGTATTCTGAAAGCATCTAAGAATTCTTGTTTTTGTAGCTAGTTTAGAAGAGGATCCTGTTTAATCTGCTTTAAGATTGGTATTTTGTTTAGCTCTAGGTTAGTTATGCTGTTGAAATCTTCTATAACTATTATTTGTAATCTGAGAAACTGATTAATAAACTTTTCAATGATCTTTTTCTGTGTATTTTTTCTTTCATAAACATTATTTGGAGGAATATAAAGCATTATTATTATAATTTCTAGTTGCTTAAGGACTAAGCTTACTGAGATTAAATATTCGTTTATTTTATCTATTCATCCTATATATTTCTTCTATTGTTTGTTAATTAGTAATCTGACTCTAGAGCTTTTCTTCTTATTCTTGTCTGAGCTTGCTTAGAAGCTCTTATACTTTAAATATTCTCTAGTTAACTATATCCTTTCTTTACTTGAGATATTAGTTTCAGTAATCTCTAAAATATCTATTGAATTGTCTATGACCCACTCGTATAAAGAATCTATTTTCTGGATATTCTTTTTGATACTGTTGATATCATGAGTTGCTATGTTGAGTTCTGTTTTTCTTCTTGTGTAATTTCTATTTATACTATTTATACTATTTATGCTTTCTTCCTAAATCAATACCTGCTTGTATGCAACCTTTTTATCTTTTTTGTCTTCTGTGTTCATTGCATAGCAAAAGATAATCTTTTTATTATCAGTCTCTTCTCTGTCATCTCCTTGCAGAAAAGGTTAATTCTTTTGCCAGTTGTCTGTGATTCAATTATTGCTTCTATTTAGAAGCAATAAGCAACCCTAGTTACTTACTCAGATTCTCAAAACAATATAGAATCTCTAATAGCATTGATTGATATTGGTCGATTCTAGCTATCAGATTATCTCTTTTGACTACTTTTCTCCTTTTGCTTCTTTCTTTTTCTTTGGACTAGCATATTCTTTTCTCTTATTTTTATACCTTTTAGTATTTTTTTTAGCACTTCTTGTCATAATATTAGTATTAGATTCTTTCTCCTCTTTTGAAGTTACTATATTATATCTAGATCTTCTTTCTTAGTAGGATCTCATCTTTTCATTACTAGATTTTTTTCTCTACCTTTTGTTAGTATTATGTTTCTTTTTTCCTTTTGACACCTTCTCTATTGTGAAGTCTTCTTTTTGCTTAGCTTCTATCTATTGAAGGATTAGATTATTATACTTTACAGACTTTTTTTGTGCTTCTTCTATCTCTTGTTTATTTGTGAAAATTACTTTTGCAATTTGTTTTATATATCCACTTCTCCTTTTTGAGATATAAATCATCTTTGCCTTCTTGTCTTTAAAATGTCTTAGCAATAGGGTTTCAGAGAGTTTTTCTGTGATCCTTGTTAGTTTTGCAATATACTTGTATCTTTTATCTCTTTCTTTGTGATTTTCTTTTTCTTTAGATATCTGAGCAAGTCTTCTATCTTCCACAAGAAGAGCCCAGGGTATGACTATATTTTTCAAGTCTTTACTAAATTCTATTACTGCTAAAGATTTGCTATTTCTTCGTTTGATATACATGTCTTCAATAATATTTAATTTCTTAAACATGTAATTAATTTAGTGCTTGACAAAATCAAGTAAAAACTTGATTGTCAAGTTTTTGATTAAGTTAAATCTCAGATCAGTAATTTATTTTTAGTAACATCTAATGAATTTCTGGTGATTTGTACATAACAGATAATGTATATATATACATACATAATATGATATATATCAAATTTATAACACTTATCATTATATTGAGTATTGTGTTCTATTTTTTGCCTTATATTTTATGATCACTTATATATTAAACCTCTTAAAGCCAATAACTTTTAATATTATTATATCAAATAAGTAGAAGTATTTTGGCTTGCTTTTTTAAACTTTCTGTAATCGCTATAATCAGTTTACAGAGATTCTCACAAATTAGTAGCTAGGTTGTAATCACATTTGACTACTAGTAATTTAACTACTGTTGAAGTATGTTATATTTTTGATTTACACAGGTATTTGTATGCTCTTTACATTTATATTGCTCAAAATGATAATCAAACTCCTTTAAAGAATACAAAAAACTTTATATTTTAGAAATGATAACGATCCTTCTCAACTGGTATAGCAAATGTCTCAACTCTACAAAAAAGCTCAGCTAGTTCCTTTAACAGATTAAACTTTTTCTCAAATTCTGTTGTCTTTTTCTAAATTGCTCCATTTACAAAATTTTATATATAAAAGCATATAAAATTTTAAGTATACCCTAGTAGTAAATATAATTAAATCTTTGGTAGAATTTAACCAGGCCAGGTTATGAAGTTTGCATAGCTTACTCTTTATATTTTGGATTTCGGTATCAAAATAAAAATCGAAGTTTAACTTTTTTGGCGTAAGATTCAATTATATTCTTATTTATTTAAATTATCATGTAATTTGTTTTTATTAAAATATAATTAATAAATAACTTTGATCAAATTTCATATTAAATATATTAAATAACAAAATAAATAGTAATATATTTACTAGCAATTCGTTATGCTAACAAATAAATAATTTATTTACAAATATTTATTCAATCAGATAAAATAAAAAATAAATTTTCACAGATTATTGCTGTGCTAATCCTGCTTGTTAAACTAAATCTTTAATTTGCCAAAGACTATAATGAATATCTATTTTAAAATATTTGCCAGAGCTGTTTTTTAATACTAAATCTAAAAGTTTATATCCTAATACTGTAAAAAAAAAAAAAAAAAAAAAACTTTAAGTAATATAACAAGAAATAGTCTAACCTTAATATAAAACAATATATGAGTACTGCTAAGAAAAAACCTGTCATCGGGTTTTCAATTATATTTTTTGTTTAGTTTGTTTCAGAATACCGTCTAGAGAAAATCTATCATCATGCTTTTATTTATATTTATACAAATATAATTAATTAAACTCGATGATAAATTTTCTCAAAATGGTGATCTGGAAACAAACTAAACAAAAAATATAATAAAAGCCTGATAATAGATTTTCTCTTGGCAGAACTCAAATTAGTGGGATAAATACTTGATAGAATGTTTACCCAATTCTTATTTTCATAAAATACGTACAAAATTCTATAGATTACTCAGCAATAATTATATCTTAACTATTAGATGCTTGTCTAACAACAATACAAAAGCTAAATTTTAAAGTAATAACTGTGAAAATATTGTTATTTTTAAACATAAAATATTATTAATTTGGCAGAATTTACTTTATATGCTTTAATCAAAATTTTGAAATACAAAATAATATACATTACCTAACCCAACTATGCTTTAACATCAGGTACAAGTTTTAATATACCAATTTTTTGAGTAACAACTTTACAAGTATGCAGTTGTAGTAGATCTATGTATTGCTTTCAGATGCACTCTGAAAATAAAAAAAAAACTTTATGAATCAGAAAAAAGTAAAAATTGTAATGATTGATGCTTTTATACTATATATACTAATAAAGCGTCATTTTTTTCTTTGATTTTTGATTCTTGTAGTTTTTGTTCCTCTGAATCAAATGATATTTAAAAATGAAATGGATTAAAAAAAAAACAATGACTAGTCACTTATATATAAATACATTTAGTTAGAAACTAATAATCTTTTAAAATTGATTATTTTCACTAATTTATTCAAAGTAATTTGCCAACACATAGCCAAATATGTCATTAAACTTAACCAAGTACTAATCTGAATCATCTTTGATATAAAAATAAAATATACCCTATCCTTTGAATGACAATTCTTTGTCTAAATGTGTTTTGTAGCTTTAAAACACTTTTACATTCCATCTAAAAAAAGCATTGATTATTAAAAAAGTGAAGTTTTTTAATAAATAGATCTGTATAATTCAAACGCAATAAACCTAATAGCCCTATATTTCAACATACTAAAAGCTTCAAAAATACACCTCTGAACGTAGTTGCTAGACATAATTCTGATTAGGCCTTCTAGAGTACTTTTATTGTCTTTATTTTGTTTAATCTTTAATTTAGCTTTCCATCATTGGCCATGTTTTTCAAGTAGAGCACTTTGATCAATAGATTTCTTAACAAGTTGAGGCAAGTTACTATTTGGGCTGTTATAAGTAGAAAAGAAATTATAGAAGAAGCAACCGGAGTACTCAGAGCAGGAGAAGAAGAATATGTAGATATGGAAGAATTATTTCCAGATTGATGCAGAGAAGCCAAATAGGATGGAGAAGTTTCCTGATATTTATGAGAATATTGCATAATAGATAGTAGCTGAAAAGGTTGTAAATGAGACAATTTAGAAAAAGACAACAGAATTTGAGGCAAAGTTTGATCTGTTAAAGAAACCGGCTGAGCTTTTTTGTAAGGTTGAGACATTTGCTATACCGGTTGAGAAGGATCATTGTCATTTCTAAAATATAAAGTTTTTGTATTCTTTAAAGGAGTTTGATTGTTATTTTGAGCAATATAAACATAAAGAGCATACAAATACCTGTGTAAATCAAAAACATAATATACTTCAACAGTTGTTAAATTACTAGTAGTCAAATATGATTACAACCCAGCTACTAATTTGAAAGAATCTCTGTAAACTGATTATAGCGATTACAGAAAGTTTAAAAAAGCAAGCCAAAATACTCCTACTTATTTGATATAATAATATTAAAAGTTATTGGCCTTAAGAGTTTTAATATATAAGTGATCATAAAATATAAAGCCAAAAAATAAAATGCAATACTTAATATAATGATAAGTGTTATAAATTTGATAAATATTGTATTACGTACGTATGTACGTACGTTATCTGTTATATACAAATCACTGAAAATTTATTAAATGTTACTAAAAATAAATCACTGATCTGAGATTTAACTTAATCAAAAACTTGACAATCAAGTTTTTACTTGATTTTGTCAAGCACTAAATTGACTTCTTTTGTATTTATATCTATTGGCAAGTCCCAGATTGTGATATAGTCCATATTTATACATCTATTATGATTGATCTTCTAGAAGCTTCAGGCTACTCATTGTAATATTTTTTATTTTGGCAAAAGTTTTTTTCTGTCTCCTGAGTAACTCTCTTCATATTATTTTCTTCAGTCTTGTAATTATTGTTTAGTTTTACTTTAAATTTGTTATTCTTGTTTTTTTATTTATATCTTGAGTTTTTTGTTTCATTATCAATTATTGGAATTAAGTGAAGCCAATCTCCTTCTTTTTTTTGAATTCTTTTGATCACTTTTTTTTTGCTATATTCACAGTCAAAGTTTATTTTTACCCAATTGTTTCCATTAATAAATACCTTTTGTACTGATTTTATATATTTGTCTCTATTCAACATTTCTTCCATGTTCGTAGTTCTTTCTTTAGAGAAGTCTTTGAGTATTTTAAATGCAGGTGCTTTGGCACAGATTGATTTATAGCCTTCACAAATTCTATTATTTGATGACCAAATACTTTGTTTTATCGAACTACTAGCTTCAAAGAGTTCTGGCACCTGCTTAATAGGCTTTACTTTCATGGATTCATTTTGTTAATAATTTGTATTTTGTTTAATCATATCGATTAAGATGCTGTCTATTGGTACCTCTTTGTCTTTTTTGATTTTTTTATTTTTTAATGCATCTATATTATTCTTTTTGGCTAAAGAATTTTTTGAGAATTCATTTTTTGAAGTACATATGTTATTCATTTGGTTTTGCTGTTTAAATTCAATTTTTAGATCTTGTATTTGTTTTACTACTTTGTTTATGTCTTTATTTGCTATTTCTTCTTCATCCTGCTTTCGCTTTTTTGGACCAGTTGCTTGGTTCATAACAGAGTGAGTTTCTTTTTCTATTCCATCTATTTTGTTTTTCTCTTTCTAAATTTCTTTCTCACTTATATTTGTTATATACTTAATTGATGCTAGGTTGCTTCTTGCAATCTTGGCTTTTTTAGCTCACCTTTTAACTGTATCTTCTTAAAAGCAAAGATCTGCTTTTCTCAAGATATCTTTACTTGTCTATATAATAAAACTTCATATACTGTTACTCAGTCTGGATTTCTTATTATTAAATCCTTGGCTAAATTGTCTATATCATCTGGTTAAAACCCCAGATAATACTAATAAAGGTATGAGATAGGTTAATAGTAAATTTTCTAGCATTTTGTCTACTTTACAAATCCTAATTTTGACTATTTTAAATCTTGTACCTTATTATTTACAATCTATATATCTAATTTAATTATATAATCTATATCAATATATTTAAAAAATATATACTATGCTATGAGAATAAACTGTATTGCGAAAGTTATAATTTTACAATATATATAATTTTATAAACATTACAATCTTATATACAATATAATTTTATATAAATTAAAACTTAATCTAATTTTCATAAAGTACTAGCTTTGTATTATTTAATTTGTAACTCAATCATCAAAAATTTTGATCTTAGAAATTACAAAGCTTGTGAATTACAAATTACGCAAAATTATAATAATTTTACAACCCTATATAAGAATAAAACTATGTTGCAAATTCTAAAATTGCTATGCAGCATAAATTTATAATTTTTTTATTATGATTTGCAGCATTTGTTATTATAATTAAATTTATAAATATTTGAACTATATATTATGATATAATTATTACTATATTATTACAACAAAAAAGCAACAGTTATGGTATTAGACCCTAATCTCAAGTTACTCTTTTTAGTTATTAGTAACAAATTTGTTATTTTAAAATTTTGTACTATAAAATTTCTTTTCGTGCTCTAACAGTTTTTCTTATACTTATTATATATTCAATTTTTCTATATTGGATTAAATCAATGCAAGTAAAAATTAGGCTATGTGAATTAATTAATTGTTTTTTTTAAACTGACCAGGTTAAATTTTGAAAACTTGAAAACAATTTTTTATATATTTTAATAGTGGGTAGGTTTTTAAAGAAAATTTTAAAAAAATTTTATAAAATTTTTTATATGAATTTTTTTTAAAAAAAAGCCAGCCAATTGGATCTGTTTAAAAGTTTTATATAATGAAAACTAAGATATTAAATTTGTATGACCTTAAATAAAAATAGATAAATCAGGAAATATTTCAATTAATAAAAAATTATTATATTTACAAATAATTGATATAAATAAGAATTAAATAGCTTAAATATTTTAATTAATATTTAAAATCTTTAACTAATTAATTCTGGTATTATTATTTTTTTTGATTCTTATTTCTGGTGTTCCTTCAATATTTTTTTAAAATTTTGGTTAAATAATTATTATACACGAACTAATTCGATATAAAACAAAAAAATTTTAAATAAGTTGTATATCTTATATTAAGTGTATTAAAAATATTTTAATAAAATGATCGATATATTCAACTAATTATTGTAAATAAAAAATCAAATATAATGTAAATAGCTTACCTTAAATTGCTTCTATTAAAAATAATTATACTGTTATTATATATGAGATTTGGGCTTGTTATACAAATACGAAATGGGAAAATAGTGAAATATCAGAACTAGAATTACTTTTTATATAAAAGGCCAGAAGTATAAAGAAAACCCAAATAGTCCTTTGTAGTAAATTAACAAAAAGAAAAGAGAAAAGAAAAATACTATCCAAAGCATATATAATATAAATAGTTAAAACTGTATAAATATAATTATAAATATAAGTTAGTATAATAAATTGCATTATTCGATATTCTAAATAATTGTTATCTTGGGGTTACAAAAAAATTATACTAAAATTAAATTGATACAATAATTAAAAATATGCATTGAATTATTCTAAACTGATCAAGATCTGCTAAAATAGCAAAATCAGCTTAGAAAGTTAACAATTCTATTGATTTATTATATTACTTTGTTTAAATCTAATTCACTTCTACTTTAGAATTAACAATAATTCGTAACAAATTTTTTATAAAGCAATCATTAAAAAATCCATATAACTCTAAAGCTCTTCCAGAAATAGTTATCAAGTTATATTGCTTATTAATATGAATAAAATTGCCAAATCCAAAAAAATAGATAAAACATTTAGTACTAATATGACTAAAAATCATGTATCCAAAATTAGCTATAGATAAAAAAAATATTATTTTGAAGTAGCAAAAAACCTTTACCGATAAATAAAATAATGAATTAATATTGAATATGTCACTACATATATAAGAATAGTAATTAGAATTCTTCTAATATAGTACTGTTACAGTACCATGGTCTTCTTAACAGCAGTACTATAACAATGACACGGCTACAGGGATCCTTTACAGGTTTATAGCGGTGTCCAACAGGTAA